ATGTTCACATGATTGCACATTGCACGAGGCTTATAAGGAAGTGGCCTTAACCTAAAAGAAAGAAGCTTTAGACTGGTGACTGCTCTGTAGGCCAGGTACGCTGGTGGTTACGTTTCCTTCCTTCTCCAGATCAAATGCTTCTGCTGCTTCTAATGACAGGCCCGTGGTCAGCGTGCCCAGGAGCAGTGATCCCAGACCTTGCCTGTGCACAGCGGGACCTGAGCAGCGCCAAGGTCCGAAATGAGCAGGCTTCACATGCTGACAAAAGAAACACTCTCTACAAGTGTTTTCATAATCATCACTTCCTATATAATTAACTACAAAATGTTTGTCTTCCCTTTAAGGCAAAGGTTATTATAAAAGCAAGTTAGCCCGGGTTGCGTTACTTTATAATTTTTTTAGGAGAAAAAGGGAGGAAAAAAATGTGAACGAGGATCTGCTGCTGCTGGGGTTGCATCATTTATTGAGAGCTTTGCCTCTCCGCCTTGCTCCAGCCTGTATTGCACTATATAATTAACTACAAAATGTTTGTCTTCCCTTTAAGGCAAAGGTTATTATAAAAGCAAGTTAGCCCGGGTTGCGTTACTTTATAATTTTTTTAGGAGAAAAAGGGAGGAAAAAAATGTGAACGAGGATCTGCTGCTGCTGGGGTTGCATCATTTATTGAGAGCTTTGCCTCTCCGCCTTGCTCCAGCCTGTATTGCAAACCTCACCGCCACGCGAGGTGAAATCCTGCCTGGCTGAAGGGCTGTCCGGAGCCCCAGCTCTGCCGGGGAGCGGGCGTTGGGGTGCATGCCCCAGCCGCTCGTGGGGAGCGGTGCCCAGTGGGGTCACCTCTGAGGGGCCGGTGTCCACCCAGCTAGAGCTTCGCAGGCCGGGCAGGATCCGTCCTGCCCATCCCGCCGGCTCTGCAGGCAGATGTGTTGGTGCAGCAGCTGCCCTGGATGGGAGCAAGCAGAGTTTCCGAGGGGTCTTCCTGCTCCCAGCGCTCTGTCAGATTGACCTGCTTTAGCTGCATGGCTCCGATCAGAACAGCGCTGCTGCAAAGCCTCGGGTTCCTAGACGGCTGATTTTTTAAGACAAAAAAAAAAAAAAAAAAAAAAAGAGACCCTGGTGAAGGTAGACATCTTAGCACATCGACCTCCGCTCCTTCCTGCTCTGCTTGGAGAGAGCTCTGGTTCATGATGTAACTCACTGGTCTCTTGGGCTTGGTAAGCTGCAATATGTTGGAGTTTTGCTGTGCATGTATTGCCTTTGCCTATAAAACCTGTTTGGACCTTTGTGAAGGGCACCCGGATGGCTGATGAAAATGCCAAGGAGGAGGCTGAGAAAGCTCTTTCTGTATTTCCCAGCTTTGCTCTTTTTCTCTTCTTTTTTTTTTTATTTTTTATGGGCTTTTTTTTTTTGCTTTAAAGGCACCACTGTAGTTTCTAGTCGTCGTCTCTTTGGAACTGCTGCAGACAGAGCCTTTCCTTGCCTGGTGTGACCCATCTTCCATCCCCTCCATTTTAGACCTCACTGAGGAGAGGAAGCCTGTTTTCATGTAAACAGGGGTGGAGAGGAAGAACTAAACCAGCGCGAGCTCCTCTGCTTGGATCCTCATGGCTTTTAAAGCCGTTTCAAAGACCTAATCAGTCTTTCTTGAAAGATGCAATAATTTTTTCTTCCTATGGAAACCTAAAATTAAAAGGGGAGGGGGGGGATCATGTTGAATTGCTGGTGGTGTGGACCCTTCGTGGAGGTTCTCCAGCCACAGTGTGGGGTCGGCGAGGGCATGGAGGCTGCGGGAAAGGGAGGAAGGAGGGAAAAAGGAGAAGGAAAAAAAAAACAACCACCCAAACCATGGCGAGAGTGAGACTTTTATTGTGAAGCAGCCGGAGCTTTGGCAGTTGGCTTTTGTTGGGGCTGCCGCGGGGGGCGGAC